TGGAAATATTGAGCAGTCCACCAGTGAAGGAAAGCAGCTACGGCTATTCAGTCCTAAAAATTGATGCCATCCACGTTAAATATATATATATATATATATGTATATGTATATGCGCATACCCAAACTCAACCGGATTGTTTCTCTACCGCATTCGCCATCTACCGCTACCGTTCCGACTCGTCACTTTGCATTCGCTTTATGTCGATCGTCTTATACGTGTGACTTGATCGTACCCGNCGTTCCACCATTTGGTTTAGCATCGTGGTGCCTCGAAGTTTGCACTTGTTGAATCACTGACTGTACGACTTTGTGTGTGTGTGTGTATGTGGAACTCCATCATAGTTTGATGTTTGTTATTTATTACACCTTCGAATTTCGCGCATATGTAGCAGATAGATGCACTGTGTCACGGTTAGTTTGTCTGGTTTTAATACACCAGTCGTCGTAGAAAGTAGATCATTTGGGCGTAAACATTATGGGCCCGGTGTTTCGTCAAGTGTGTTGGTATCCTGGGCTGTATGATGGCATTTACGATGTGGTAAGAAACAATGGTAATTGTCTACCTGGATTGAGTCAAATATATGAGAAACGGACCCCGCAGTTAGTCGAACAGCTCACTTAAGTGTCACTTTCTGTTAACCGATTTTGTAACTCAGAGTCAATGAGTACCATACCGCTGCCGCCAGAAGTATAACATTGACTTCAAATGAACCCATCACATTTAGTGCAATGGGAGTCCAATCACACACTTGGTCTTCTGACTGCCACGTGAAAATACAGCTGTTATCTTCGAATCCTGTACGCGTCCGTAACATGCACGATGGCGTCGATCGAACTGACAACCAAAGTACAGGGTCGCTCCACAACGAGACGGAAATTCTGCGCCGTACTCTGGTTGGTTTTCAATTAACACACTGGTGTGTGCATAATGCATTCACTCAAACTTTATCTGCCCAACTGTACTAGTTTGTGTGGTTGTTGTAATGTGTGCACATGTCCTGGTAGTCGCATCCGCATCAACAGAAACATTGTACATTCAATGTTGAATGAGTCGGTCAGGGGTTGGGCAAACACACTGAACTGGTTATTTGATCGATCCATCCTGCTCCTGTTGACATCATCTACGTGATCACGCTGATTTACAGTCGGAATCCGGCATGTCCATGTGGGAAAATCGGTGAAGGCTAGACCCACTCTTCTCGTTCTCGTTTCCATTCTTATGATCTGTCAAGTGAAAAGACCGACCATTCCGATAACCTGATATTGCGTGACACAAGAAAGGGTTAGGACACTAATGAAGTTGCGGGGTTCCCAGTAGAACGGAATCGGTGGTCTGGCTTGAATTTACAATGGATTCTGCGGATGTTTGAATAAATCAGTGATTACTGAATTCCATTCAAAATAATCCAATTTTCTCATAAATAGTAGCCTTGGTATATCGCTTCTGATACACTTTGTGAAACGGGTTCTGTTCGACACAATTCCTGAAGTATTCATTACTGTTACAGGTTTTCGGTTTTTCACATTAGAGTGCAGTTCTTGGCCAAATACGAATATTGATAGTGACCAGCTCTCCCCATGTATCTTTGCTCTTCAGCTTTTCCGGTCGTTAAGTGACCATTGGTCGTCTTTCAGAGGTCACTGGTAATTGTTTCGTAGCCATTGATCATACTTTATCACCCAATAGCTGAGGAAGAATGACCACACTTTTCTGATACATTCTTAACTCATAAGGTCCGTTTGAAGTCTTGCTCCACTTACGCGACCTGACGAGGTTCGTGAAAATTTCTTTTTTATTGATAAAATATCACTTCATAGGTTAAAAATATCAGTTCACAGATATGAATGATTTTTCCGAAGTTCAGTAAACTTAAATGTGTGACCGTAACACTGAGATTTTCAACTTATTTCCTGAGGAATATTCTATAAAATAGGTAACCGATTAACCAGGTACTGAAGCGGGTTCTCTATTCGATAATGTTTCGGTCCACCGACGGGCGAGTGAAACCATACTGGCAGCTGAATATGCTGTCAAATATCTTTCACGGTATATTACATTTTTAACCCGACTGAAAAAGGTTTTAGTGTTGGGTAAAATTTTCACAAGGTTGAGGACCTTCCGGAAGATCAAACCACCAAAGAACATCGGGTTGTAATTTCTGTGCAAGTTTGCGAGGCTCCGAATAATCGAATTTTTTGACCCATTTTTTACTGTTATTGAACTTTCTACAAATCAATCGAATATAAGAAATCATATTTTTGGCCACTGAAGTAAACCTTTTCATTAAAACATGACACTTTTCACCGGCGTTTCTTCTAATTCGAGTAAGAAATATTCATGCGACTCATGCTAAACTGCGAAATCGAATAGTCGGATCGAAATTTTAGACTTACCGTGACTTCATCAGTTAGTACCGCGTCGAAAAGGTGCGCTCATTCTTCCCTAGACCATGAGTGCTAAAAGACATGCAGTGGCTGCGAAACGGTGATCAGTGGTTACTAACCGATGGTGTTGCGCCTGACTATTTGGAGCGTATGAAAGACGGCTTGTCGTGAGTGTTCAATGGGGTCAAATGGCCTCACCTACGCATCGCGATACAGTTTCCAGGCCACCAGCCAGGACGCAGGGAATCTGGTAAATCTGGTGATCCAAGACACACGTACTTGGATTGCCTGAATATACAAATGTGAATAAACAGACCATATCGACAGATATTGTTCAACCATGGATAAACCAATGATTGATCGTGAAAAATGGAATATATATTTTCATCGGTGAAAGAACCATTGCCTCCCTCCGCCAAATCAAATTGTATTTACCAATTCAATTGTGGATGCTCAGCTGTCTACATAGGCAGGACAGAGAGGCAGTTACGTCAGCGAATGGCCGAACACATCCCGGTGTGGCTTAAGAAAGCAATGGACGGCAATTTTGCAAATTTTGCGTCATCGATTGATCGGAGCAAGCTTAGATCTTCGAAAACGCAACATTTACTCGAACAAAAACACTGTCACCCCACCCCACGCATCCCATGTCACCTACAACACAACAAACACAAAATTACTGAAATTTGCCGAGGCCCTAGCCATTCACACTCTCAAACCTGATCTATGCAAACAGCGCGAATGGTTAGCCACATTGGCTTTGCCTTGGTGATTGACCCCCTGCCCTATCTCGTCCTCCTTTTTGTGTTTTTGCGTTGCGTTGTTCGTTGTGATTAGCGATCTTGTGTTTTTTCTCTCAAATCTGTTATCTCGCTGACTATAAAAATCACTTGGATTGCAGTATGCACGTGTACAAATGCAGCGAAATGACCATGGATACATTGTGCAAAACCATGTTTCTCACTTCTCTGTTCAAAACAGTTAGGTTTCACACTCGTGTTTGGGTACCGTTGCATGCTACTTTTATTTTCTTATAGGAAATAGTCATGCGCAACTTGATAAACATGGTCAAAGAAGAGACCCAGTGGATCGAAATGCAACCAGCCAGTGTGGATGAAATGAGCATATCACTTCGATCCGGTCTCCAAGAGTGGGAGAAATACCATTGTCAGAAACACGGTGGCCATCCCGTCCGAGTTCGCGGTCTTCTTCTCTGTCCGGGTGTTTGCGGTGCCCGGGAAGTATTGTCTGTGGTCGCTCAACTATACGGGGATGAAGGACAATCCACGGGAATACCCCCCATAAGAATTGGTGAGTAAGAATATACTTGGTAATCTGGAACAAAAGACAAAGTTCACAAATTCCAATTTTTTAGTCGGTTTTGAGTTGATTCCCTTTTTGAAAAAATCACAAATAAACAGATGCATTTGTCTTCTGCCAGCCGAAATCCCCCAGGTCGCTTCTTCGATTCTCATTCCATGGAACAATCGGAAAAGTCGTTCTGCGGTGCACTTTATGTTAAATACGTTATCAGAATAAGAATACTCATTTACTTATTTTCGTATTTCTTTTTGAAGAATACAAATTACAATTAGTTTTCAGGATAAGGGAAGCGATTTAGCAAAGGGACGGCATTCTATAGATGGAAAACGGAGAAAGTTGCTTGCCGTTTGAGGTTTCACATCATCGAGAGAGACGTGGTACATAACTGACGACAAGGGACAGCATAGCGTAGCTTTGTTCATACTGGCATTAGTATACTTCTTCAGTAATCCTGTTCTATAATCCAAATGCGTGTTTTAGACTGCTTTGCATCCCCTGTTGAGCAGAATCGGTGTTGCGCGGAACTATTTGCTGTAGGTTTCCATATACATACCTGCATAGTTGATAATCTTCAACCCTTCGTTGTAGACAGTCATCTACATCACCCAGCTTTATCATTACCTTCGAAGTTGATCACGAGAGCTTCAAAAAAAGACAGCTGTAGATGACATATATGATTAAGTTAACTGGTCTAGGCTTGCATAAACTCACGTCAGATTAGGATAAGATCACCGATGAACCTTCTCTATGACTATTCTTCCCGGAAAAGATAGATTAATAAGGAGACTCAGTCGATGAGTGACGTAATGCTGATGTGCATACATACAAAGTATTTGCTTTTACATAGTATCGTGACAGTTCTGCATTCATCTTTGGTTTCGCTAGTCCGATTATTCCTTTCAGTTTTGTTCACTGAAATCCAAATGATCATCTGCGAAAGCAGATGTCTATGTACACCTACTTTCTGCCTGGAAACTGTACACGTGGAATAATAAATATGGGCACGTAGTCGAACATTCCATAGAGTGAATCCACAGACAAGTGGTGCTCACCCGAAGCGATAGTGGAGAAACGGAAATTCCTGGAGTTAGAATTGCTTGATGCTCACACAGGGCACAGATGAGTATTAGGTGAAAGGAGACAGTTTGCTTGATTACCGGCACATGATTCATCATGTTAGCCAGGGCGGTCGGAATAATTATCATCCCGTACGGCTATTGCCCCATTTATCTATTGTGTTCTCTTCGTTTTCTCTAACTCATACTCCATTTAGAAACACGATCGGGTAATATAAAAAATAGTTATCTCCATTATTATTCCTCTGCCTTGGTCTCAGGATGCGTGGCTACTTGTGTGGATATTCGTTGTGCTCTAATGGACAACGGAAGGTAAGTTAGAACAAACTGAGTTGATATTGAAGTCGGGTTTTGCTTTTATTCGATTGATTGTGTCCACATTCTCATTTTGGGTCATATTTGCATTGTTTCAAGGTACACATTACCCGGAGTGTTGGAACTGATTGCCGAGGGATGGACTAACTACTTGCTTCACACCGGACCGACCAAATCCAAACAGGTGATTGCTTCAGCCAGTTGCCCGATTTTTTGAGTGGCTGTATTTGCTTCTGTTGTTAGGATCATCGGCGCACCCAAGCTGTAACATGTTTTTTTATTTATTAACTTATACTAGTTTAGCCTACTTACATTGGTTCTTCAGATTTGTGTTGTAATGGTAATTTCCAATAAAAGTTTAGTTGTTTAAACTCGAAGATGCTTTTAAATGTGAGTACAGTTTATCTGATCAGTTGCATGCGTGGATATATTTTTCATTCGTTTATGATTCATTAGTGAACTCAAAGTAACTGGTCATGCACATAAATCCCGGTTTAAGTGAAAACAGACGTTTGGTGTGGCAGAAGAAAACGTATATTTAGTTGAGAATAAATGCCGAGATCTTCTAGCTTTGAAAAAGATCATCCGGTCACCAGGTATACTTGATTTTGAGTACGTTCTCCCAACGGACACCCGTTGCGTTTCTTACGCAGTAGGCAAACGTGTGAGTTTTCAGCCTTTTTGACACAAGTAAAGTATTTAGCTTTTCCATCCTTTGTTAGTGAAATACCGAAATGGGAGTGAAGGACGATTTGAATATAGTTGCCACTTAAATGAAAATGTAAAGGTATCCACGACGGAGACAAATATGTTTTGAGCACTCAAACCAGTCACCCGACAACCAGATGAGTCTAGAGTATTTGGAAATCACTCTATTTTATTGCAAAGTAAGCTGCTAATTAGATTTTGCCACTGAACGCACAGTACTCATCTCAGTAGGGAGGGTATTTATCATGTTATCACATACCGTAACCGCTTGCCTTTTTTGAGTACAATAGTATTTAGCAGAATTCACACAACAAAAATATGAATAATCCAAATTCAATCCTTTTAAATGTAAGAAGAAGAAAACATGCCGAATGGCCCCACCCGAACCATCTAATGGAGTAAATAAATGTATAGTATTGCCGAGTCAGGTTGCCAAAATCCCCGTAATAAAGCTAAGGATATATCAACACAAAGATCCACAAATGCTCTTTATCTTTTAAGCACGATCGTCGTAATTCTTTTGGAAGAACTTAATTTTATGATAGCTCACTGTGTTTGTTGTATGTAGAACCTACCCCAGCTCTGAATTCATTTGAAACGCACTGGTTAATTGCGGGCAACGCAGTTCGATCTCTGGCACCACTAGCATCGTTCCAAAAGGCTAAACAATCCCTGGCCACTCATCAACGCTCTCAATGCTTATGTAGGACACACTTCTGACAGCAGATTCTCCGTACAGGGGTTTCTAAACAATATGAAAGACAGGGAAAATACAAACAACCATGAATCCAAAAGTCCAGTGAGAGATGCAAACTACTCACATTCAATTCAAAATGGCTGCGCCCATGCTTTCACTACGCTGTGACTTAAGTTCGCAGGTTTTAACAGACTGGAATCAAACATGAAACCAAAATGTTTTAATTCATTTTTCGTCATTTTGTTGCCAGCTCGAAAGTAGCCGCAGCTCTCGCAGTGATCCCACCAACACCGCCCTGTTACACCTCTTACAATGTTGTCGAAAGTCATGGAGGCTACTGTGGCAGATCTGTTGATGGAGTATCTGGAGGAGCATGGCACTTTGCCTCCAGCTCAGCACGAATTTCGGCACAAACATTCGTGAAGCACAGATCTATTTTTCACACAAAATTAGTGGAAAAAATCCGTTGACTAAGACAAGCCATGGGGCATAGATTATTTGAAATTCTTCAGAGCATTTGATTGAGTAATCGACCAAATTCTACTGTAAAACTCTACAACTACGGAGTGAGAGGTTTGGTTCTGGACTGGATCAAACAGTTTCTCCGACAAAGAACCAGGTCAGTTTGTGTTGGTGATTCATAATCTGAGCCTATCACCGCCGCCCGAGGGGTTCCTCAAGGATCCGTATTGGGGCCTCGTCTCTTTCTTGCATTTATAAACGACATGTCAAATGTTCTTGGGTTTAGTACACTGCTATTTGCGGACGACGCTAAGATCTGGAGAGCTGTAATACTTCCAGATTCTTATATAGCACTCCAACAAACGATCAATGCAGTCCACCGATGATCAATCGCCAATGACATCGAGCTCAACGTTTCCAAATGCAGAGTTATTTCCATACGGCACAAGACTCGTTTCTCCTATGTTCTGGGGAACCAAATACTACTGCATGCCACTGACGAACGGGATCTGGGAGTTATGGTACAGGAGGATGTAGGATGTTTCACGCACTGTGCCAGAGCATCATCCATGGCTCTAAAGCAAGTTAGACTACTCAGACGTGTTTTCGGGCGGATCGAAAGAGCACTGTTCCCACGCTTGCTATCAGCGTTCGTTCGGCCACACACGTAGTACACCGTTGAAGTGTGCAATCCATGGTTGAACCGCGATAAGAAGGCTCTAGAACGTCCGCAAAGACCAGCAACAAAATTAGTAAAACGTCTGTGTAACAAGACGTACTCTGAAAGACTGCAAATATTGGGACTCTCCTCATCTCAACACCGCCGACTCTGGGGGACCTAATCTTGGCATATCACATACTGCATCAACCCAACCACCCTTATCTCAAAATCATCACTTCAGGGTACATCCACTAAAGTTGAAGACCCAAACAAGCCACCTTGCTTGCTGGCATCACTTGTTGGCAGTGAGAGTGTGTCGCGTATGGAATTCTCTTCCATCCAATGTAGTGTATACTCCAGTTGAACTATTTAAATCGCAACTTGATAAAGCGTTGGAACATTTAAAATTTCCATATCCGTGAGTGATCATGCCCATGGTTATTATAATTATTATTATTTTTCAAAATATTCTGTAAAAATCCTATGGGGTATGATAAGCTTTAGCTTTGTTAAATCGCCCATAATAAAACTTTGACTTTGACTTTTAACTAACTTTGGTCTGCTGAAGTCGTTACCTTAACCTCCTCATCGATGAATTGCTTGACAGGTTGCTGCCACAAGAATGGGTGTCCAGATGGAGGAAGTGGAAAGACTTTTGCGCTCGGTTAATCCAAGGCTCAGTCAATTGTCGGCACCGGATGGTGATACTGGTCAGGGTCATGTACTGGAAGCTTTGTTAGACGAAAACGCATTCAACGAACCCGCGATGCAACGAGCCCGACTCCTATCGTACCCGAGGTAGGTGAGATTGATTACCTCATACTGTGCGACACGAATCACATCCACGTACAAAGCGATGTAATCGTGCTCGGGTCTCTTTTACGGAAGAACACGAGTTGGCAATAGTTGTCTTCCAAGCTCCCGTTGTTGGCTTTTTTTACACTGTTTATATAGGATAAAAAGGAATAGGATAAGCACTACACTCATGAGATCATACGATTGACTAATGTTGGCTGATAATCCAATCCATATGACTTGGAGTGACACTCCACGAAATTCGGTAGGTATAATAACTTGCCGGGGGAGCTGAGTGCAAGGAAAACCTTGAGAGACACATTATAACGAGGTTAACTTGAAATATCACAAACGTATTTTTGGATGAGGTTTTGTTTGCTGAATTGGCCTTTTGGCTTGAAGGTTTTAGGAATTCGTAATCGTATTGATCCCTTTATCATTATAGTGCTAAACTGACTGTTATTAAGACTTTTGCATCAAGACCGAAAGAAGCCACATGACGCGAAACTTTAACATTTCCTTAAGTCTTCTCAGTCGCTGACATAAAACAAACAAGCACATTTTTAACACATTGGGTTTGAAAGTTTTTGTGAAGGGACATATATACAGACCCTTTGATGTAGACGGCTTTCTGGGGAACAGTTGGGGATGGGTTACCTTTTTGAGATTGTTCACTATGGATATCAATGGATCTTTCTGGGTAGCATTTCATACGAATGTTTTCATTAGAATATCTTTTTCCCATGGGGAACAAATTGTTTCCTCCGCTAATTTTGCCTTGCTATTCCCCTTTATTACTTAATAAGACTAATACTTTTATGTAATAAAAGCACATTCGTTTTAAATTCAAACGAGCAGCGTACAAATACTTTGATGGCGTAGACATGAGCAGTTCACTAGTCTCAATTCTAGCTGATGTTTATTTAAGAATGTTTAAATACAATCTTGCCGATAGTATCTCTCAGCCCAGCCGGTAGAGGTGTTTTGTGGACGGCATATTTTTATTCTTAGGGATCGTAAACATTTTGAATCCCTTGTGAAAAAATTTCACCGTATTCATCTACATCTCTCCACATCGTATAAAGAAGAAACTAACGGTTCCATGAAATGTTTGGAAATTAGAATTATGAGGAGTTTTGATTATATTCTTCACTTGTTTTTGAGATGGACTTTTACTCCATCCAACTAAAATTTCAAGTTGATATGTCTCATTTCTGCTTTGTTCAATGGCACCCTATAATCTCTAAGTTTTCCCTTTATATCAGTTTGATTTTGTTACCGTGTGAGCCCAAAATGCAAAAGATTACCTTACGATTTTCGCGCCCGTTGGACCGGTGGCGCTTTACACATTCCATTAAAGGTGAGCGACTTCGTCCTCCTTCGTCGTCCTTTCCCAAAGCTTTTGGCGTGTGGATCCCTTTTGTCTGACTTAGTAGAACTGATTGCTTGTATTCTTGTTGATTTATACAAAGTCCAACCGTCGCACTAACCAGCATTGAGTTCACCCCGAATAGCACAATACGTTTCACGAACCTCCAATGTAGTATAACAAATATTCTTGAAACCAGCTCCGGCTGATTTCGATCCCATTTATTTAGAAGCAAGAACAGATCAAACGGAGAAACTTGTGCTAGTTGAATCTGCCTATCTTAAACAGAGTAGTACTAGCGCGCAACGAGAGCACACTCCCCACCATGTATCACAAGTGTGTATCGGAAATCTAGGGAGCACATTGGCATTTTATCTTCGACTTCTTAGGCCTTATGCAACCCAAAAGTTGAGAAATGGGAACAATTACTGAACACATGTTTTGTTAAATACCTTTTCTACTGCAAACGTTGTACATGCGTAACACTGACCTAAGAAAGTGTCACTGGAAGGAGGATTGGGCTTAACTTTAGGTGAACTTTATCACCATTGTGTTTACATCAAACGTTATCTTACTAAGGACATAGAGATTAAGATGCTTTTGCCGATTTTCATCATGTAAGCGGTTTATCCCCAATGGCCCTTAGCAGTTGCTAACGCTTAACTAACAACTCATCTATAGTTCATTAAGTGGTACCCTTCGCCAAAACTTCAGCCGTCCAAAAGTCGTTCCAACTGGAATTTGCCCTAGCTACTCTTCCTAATCTTCAGTTTCAATCATTTTGCTCTCTATGGAATGGTCACTTTCCTGATGTGTCAAAGCCAGTTAACTTGATAAGATGTAGGTGGAATACGTTGGAAGAAAACACCGTTTTCCTGATGCATCAACTGGATAATACATCAAGTTTTATATGGCATCACTTTGTATAGATAAAAGGAAACATGAAATGCCACTAATCAAACGGGCATATTTTTCTTTTCTGGTGGCCGTTCCACAAACTTGTGTTTGATTATGCATTTAGATTTGTCTATTGCGTTCATTCTGTATTTCTCACGAGATTCGGGGTAGGAAAGACCGAGAGCCACGATATTTTGACGCATAGGGGTATGTAAATGAATTCCCACCAGTTCCGCAGTGGCTTGGACGCGATTTTTAATCGCTTTACGCGAGTGAACCCGAACACGGTAGAGAGGCCGAAATGCTTCATTCACACTCACTGTGTAATCGGATTCAACGAGGTGTGAAACGATGACAATTTTACCACTGCTCAGCCAGACCGGATGATTTTCCTGAACTCTGGTAGATAGGCGCTTGCTCTTGCGGCTGATATACGTTGCGTCCGAGGAACACGTAGATAGATACATGACACCAGAAGCAGAAACCCTATTTTTGAGTTAGGAAAATAGGATCGGTTTGGACGTGAATACGACACTTAATTCCCCCATACGGAATGCGTTCTCTACCACAGTTCTCAGTTTACGGCTTACCAACTACGTGATTATATCCGCTTAGATTGGGAAAGAGATGTAAACAGACTTCTTTTTTACATTCAAGTCTCTCCCGTGGACGACTGTATTTTAAAATGCTACCCACAAAACCTTCTGGATAACGGTTTCGTTGGAAAACATCACGGATGAATGATAATTCCACATTTATGATGTCATCAATACATATGTTCACTGCCCTATTCGCCAAAAGTAGAATCAGATTTCTTCTTCGTAGTGGCATAGTTCTAAAAGATACTCACACAACTGAAGATTTTCAGTCAAAAAGGAGCTATATTTGTCTGTTTTTGTTTGTCTATTATCACAATGAAGTGAGGCTCGAATTAAATTACGTTTAACATGTGAGAAATGAACGTACTCCCAGTAATTGGAGCCTACACTCAGTCCATGAACTGCATGTGGTATAAATGGACTAGATGTAAACTACCTACTACATAATCATTGTGATTATCATGATTACCATTACTATGATGATATTAATCACCACTGTTACTAGCCTCTCCTTTTGCAAATTAATCCGTTAATTGAAATAAATAAGCAAACAGTAGTTCCTTTGTTTGTGAATGAAACGAAAAACATTGCATCGAGGATCAGAGTTTCTCACCGTGATTGTTCTACGAGTATCCTCCAAATACGAACAACGTTAGATTACTAAAGTAGTATGTCTCTGAATTCTGCTCAAGCAGACTGGCTGCTCAAGGTAATTCTCATATCTATGCCTTTATTCCATTTGGTAATCCTCTATTCGAAGAGCTTTTCAACGATCTGAAACCATGGCCTTTTCACGGGAATATTTATGCAATTCGTGGACAAATTTCGTTTATGAATGGTAAGTCTCATACGATGAACTTGTTGCGTCCCTTTCAAACCGCAATTCAGATACTGGTAACAAACAGGCATCGAGTTCTGCCCGG